TCACAGCAGGCTGAACACGTGTTTATCTCCACTCCTCTTGCATCCACTAAAATGATAGTAAAGTTGTAGACCACCCGTAAGGACAAAGGAAATTGGAGACGGTAGAAGAGAGATTGATTTCAGCAATGTTTTAAAGATAAAAATGTAGAAGGACAACAACTTTAGCCATCTTTCTCTGCTCTGACAAGGGCCTGCGCAGGGAGCACGCAGCTTTGGGCTGCAGAATTCCATCCGGAAAGGATTGGAAACTGACCACCCCAGGCAGAAAGAACAACCAAATTCACTGCAGGCCACAACTGTGCGTGGTGTTAAATGTGCAGGCTCTGCAGAGAGATTGCAGGATTCAAATCCCGGTTATCTGCTCACTGGCTGTGTGATATAGGTCAAGGTTCTAAACGTCTCTGTGCCTCTTCGTCCTCATCTGTACACCAGGGGAAGCAAAAGTGCCTTCCTCACAGTGCTGTTCTGAGTGTGCCTGAGAACCCACCACAGGCACTCAGTGCAGCCCCGGACACAGGGTGAGCACTCAGTAAGAGGCAGCTATTAGCATCGCTATTTCTCTCTCTCAGTTCAGAGGGTCTCCCAGAGCAGCCAGTCCTCACACCCTGTCCCCAGCATGGAAGAACAGGTGGAACCTAATGCCATCACCGCATAGTATCGTTGGGAAGTTGTACGGCATCCCTTTGTTTGAGTTAATAAAGCCCTTTCCCTCCTTTAGATTAAAAAAGAAAGAAATGGAATGAGCAGCGCTCTGCCTGGCTTCTCCTCCACATCTCTGAGGCGGGACACTTCCTCATAGACCCGCAAATCACTCAGTCTCATGCGACCATCATGCCAGGCGGAGCATGAGGTGGCGGCAGTCCAGCCTCTGCAGGTCACTGCACAAAGCTGACTCCACAGAGGGGAGCGACACCCACAAGGCCACACGCTGGTGACTGTTGGGGATGGGAATGCAAAGCCCTGTGGCCTCATCTGCTGTCTCTGTCCCTCCACGTTGCTTCCCATGTGAAACCGGCCACAATTCAAGGAGACAGGCAGAGCAAAGGGGGTTTTATAATACATGAGCCTCAGGCCCTATTCTGTCCCAAACCACACCTGTGTCTCCCACTCCTACCCCTCCCCGCCCTTGTTACATGGCTGCTTGTAACATGGCACCAGGCTCTCCAGAACTCCAGCGGTGGAAGGTGTCACTCTGAGCATCAAAGATTTTCCACCACGATGGAGCAGCTGGATTCTCAATGGCCAGAGGGAGAGCAGTCAGGCTTGTCCTGAGGAGCAGTGACAAGGCGGATGGCACCACCTTGTGAGGGAGGAGAGCAGCAGGATGCCCCAGTCACAGCGGCACGCAGGTGGCCCCAGCCAGATGGCTTTTCCCAAGTGCAGATTTTCAGGCTGATCTGAACACCCAAGATTCCCAGCTTCTGTGCCGAGGAGTCCTGGCCTGCTCTTGAGCTGGTGAGACCCCAGTTCCCCTGAGAGCCTGCTTCCCAGCCATTCTCTGGTTTAGGGCCCACGGTTGACCCCTCTGGGAGTCCGTCTGGCAACTCAGAGGATGCTCTGAGCACCTGGGGGAAGAAAGAACTTGCTGGCCTCACCCTTGGGACTCTCCAGGCCATCTGTGCTTTCCCTGCTCCTCCTGGAATCTGAGGGGTTCTGGTCCCCAGGTGCTCCAGCCCATCCTCCTGACATTGCACAGGAGACAGCCAACCGACACCACAGATATACCACAATACAAGCTTCAGCAGAGCCAAAGAAGCAATGGCTCTGCTATTACACAGGCCTGGATGCTGTTGACTTGCTTTCACAAGCTGTGTGACCTTGGGGAGGTGGCTTGCCTTCTCTGATTCCCATTTCATCTGGAAAGTGGTGGAAATTGGATGGATGACCCCAGAATATCCAGTGCTACTCAAAATCCTGGCACTGAGTTCTTAAGAAGAAGCCTCTGGACAAGGAAGGCCAGGGAGTGTAGAATTCATCTATCAAAGATTTTAAACAAAATGGGCAGCATGTGAGAGAGGCTCAAGACACCACTCTTCTGGGAACGGCATTCATGTAGAACAGCCCATGCCTCACAACACAGTGACAGATCACACTGACTAATCACAAGAACTAACATTTATTGAGCACTTACTGTGTACCAAGCCCTGTACTAAGCACTTTCTGTACATACCTTCTTCATTTAATCCTCACAAAAAACCCATCTTACACATGAGGACACTGAATCTTTGAAAGATTTGTAATCTGCTCAAGGAAATATCTGAGCTGGATTTGAACCCAAGCATGGCTGAGTTTGCTCTTGTCTGTTATGAGGGTGGGAAGTTACTCTATTTTGATGATATTCATCAGGTCAACCCCAAAAGGCAGTCCCTGCTTTGCCTTGGGGGTTCACCCTCAAGCTATCAGCAGTGAGTGTGACTTCAAGGATCATTCTTTTCTGTTTGTTTGTTTTTGTTTGTTTTCAGAGACAGGGTCCCTCTCTGTCACCTAGGCTCAGGTGTAGTGACATGATCATAGCTCACTGCAGCCTCAAGCTCCTGGCCTCAAGTGATCCTCACAGGTAACTGGGATTACAGGTGTGCACTACCATGCTCAGCTATTTTTTTTAACTTTTTCATAGAGATGGTGTCTCACTCTGTTGTCCAGGCTGGTCTTGAACTCCTGGCCTCAAGTGATCCTCCTGCCTCCACCTCCTAAAATGCTAGGATTACAAGTGTGAGCCACTGTGCTGGGAAGGGATCTTTCTAGAGCTCCAGGGTGTAGATATAGAGCTGACTGGGAGTTCTATAGAACTTGGAATGTTCTACAAAGTCTGCTTCAGGCAATGGCAAGTCCAAGTGAAACACGATTTATATGATCCAGGGAGAGCTACATAAGCTATCCACCTTTAGACAATTTCTAGTGTGTGTGTGTCTCTATGTGTGTACACACGTGTATGCACATGCATGCAAGGAGGTATCTGACTCCTCTTTTTAAGGAAGGCTGGGTCCGTCATTTCCTAAAACTCCCCTTTCACTGAAGCTTTCTCTGCATATACACTATCTTCGCTGGCTCCTGGAATACAGGTATGAACACTTTTTGTCCAATTGGTTTCCATGTGAATGAAAACATTCTGCAATCCCTAAGAGGCTCACAAGTCTTTGGGTCTTTTCATGGGTATTTCTAATTTCACACTTTTCTCCAATAATTCCAGTATCCATCAGCTTAGCTCACCCTCTTCCTTGGATAACTGGAGGTTCTCCCTGCCCCTCTCCTGCTCCCTTTCTTTCAGGAGGCCTCCTAAGGAGTGAGCCCTGGTGTATGGAGGCTTCTCACTCCTTAGCACCCCTAAAGCTGCTTGTCCTGCCCTGGCTTTGGCTCAGATGGGCCTTTTTCTTCCACATAGCTGGTGCCTGGAGCAACATCTGACTTAGGTTGGATACCCCTCAGACATATTAATTTTTCTAAAACTCAACATAGTGAATTTTGCTGTATTATTAATTCAGCCTTCTTATGGGGGAATCTGGCTCCCTAAGAGGATAAACTGTATCATTACCTACTGGTGGCAGCAGCAATTAGAGAGATTATAATTCAATTATAATTCAATTAGTTTTAATACCTGATTACCATAACAGTGTTGCCAGTGAAATTCTCCTACTTGTATCAGAATTGCTGTTTACTCTTCAGAGATGCTATAGACTGTGTGTTTACATCCCCCCGCAAATTCAGATGTCAAAATCCTAACTTCCAATGTTATGGTATTAAGAGGTGGGGGCCTTTGGGAGGTAATTAGGTCATAAGGTTAGGACTCTAATTAATGGGATTAGTGTTCTCATAAGAGGGACCCCAAAGAGTTCCCTTGCCCCTGCCACCATGTGAGGACATAATAAAAAGACAGGGGTCTATGAACCCTGAAGCACACCCTTACCAGACACTAAATCTGTAGGTGCTTGATTTTGGACTTCCCAGCCTCCAGAACTGTAAGAAATAGGTTTTGTTGTTTATAAGCCACCAGTCTATGATATTCTGTTGTAGCAGCCTGAACAGACTAAGGCAAGAGAGTTTTAGTGCCAGGTGCTTCCTTTATTCATGTCTCAGATACCCCAGGAGTTCTGCAATAATCACAACTATCATGGTCTGATATCTTATTATGTTGTCGCAAAGGTAATTGCTGTTTTGATCATCACTTTTAATGGCAAAACCACAATTACTTTTGCACCAACCTAATACATTCCTAATCACTAAACCATTGTAGAAGGTCCTATAAGGTTGGTGTTACTCCTGTTTTGCAGATGCAGACACTGAGGCTCATGGGTGTGAAGCAGTTTGCTCAAGGTTAAGTGGCAGAGATGTTAGCAGGACTGCCTGGCCCTGTTCTAAGTGGTTCTTTCCTCTGTGCCATCCTTGAAGAGCACCCTGTATGTGGATGAAAGCAGGTGTTTAGCATCACATCACAGGACAGTGTATGATGTCCCCAGGGCATCTGTGACTGTGTTCTATGTCAGTCTGGGGATCTTTCCAGGGCAGAAAACGAAGAGACACCACATAGCAAGAAAAGACACCACCCATCACACAGCATATGTTGTGTTAAGATATTACTCTCATTGTCTGTTACTGGGAGCATTATTATTCCTGATCATTTACAAAATCCACTGGCAAGCAGTCACGGCAGCATCACTGCAAGCACTGGGATGAAAAGATGTGATCGAGGAATGAAAAGTGGGGCTGGGCGCAGTGGCTCATACCCATAATCCCAGTACTTAGGGAGGCCGAGGTGGGCGGATCACAAGGTCAGGAGATCAAGACCGTCCTGGCTAACACAGTGAAACTCCATCTCTACTAAAAATACAAAAAGTTAGCCAGGCGTGGTGGCGGGCGCCTGTAGTCCCAGCTACTCGGGAGGCTGAGGCCGGAGAATGGTGTGAACCCAGGAAGCGGAGCTTGCAGTGAGCTGAGATCGCCCCCACTGCACTCCAGCCTGGGTGACAGAGTGAGATTCTGTCTCAAAAAAAAAAAAAAAAAGCTGGGGTGGGGGGGCATGTTTCGCAGTCAAACAGTTTCTTCATGGCAGGACTTTTCAGAGCCTTTAATATGCTATTTTACATTTGGATCTGTAAGAGGAGGATTTAGAATCTATTAATCACACCTGTATTGTACTATATTTTCACAAAGCTGGACCAGTTCTATCAAATTCCCTTTGAGAAAAGAAGAGGCCACTTGTTCTTTTCCTCTGCCTTCACACACACAAGAACTGCTTCTAGATTTCTAGTTCTTCATTTCCTCTACTCCCAGACAGCAGCAATGGTGCAAATTACATTAAAGTATTTATCCTAATTGAGACTGAACTCCTTTGGTCTAAGATGGTTATAGCCAGGGGCTATCAAAGCCATCTTCTAATATATTAACGCTCTTCTTGACCAAAGCAGGTACCCATGTCCCCAAACACATGGTGTGCTGAGAAGAGCTAGGACATGCCTATCAAAGTTCTAAAAGCATAAACACACACACATATGCAAGGGAAAAATTACTCCCCAAAGAAGCACACATCTTTAACATTCATGGTAAACTTTACACTGAAATTGGCATTTTACTTTGTAAAACTTAGGAAAATGGTTTTGCTTTGTTGCTGCTACTGTTGTTGTTTTGCTTTTATTTGTTTTGAACTGGGCACAGAGAGCAAGATCCAAGCACTGTGTCAGGCTTCCCTCGAAATGCTACTGTAGCTGGATGTTTTGTGTGTGTGCCAGAGTTTGGAATCACTAAATGCTAAAGATTTGGGAAACATGCCAGTTTAGATGAACTACCTGCCAGGCATTCTCTGAAATTTCCACCTGGGGTTTGCATGATGGATGAACTAACCTTTGGAAAGTTCGGTTTTGACAGGTGGGAGTGGAACTTTGAAGCCCGGTGTCATCATTGCGATGCTCTGTACACCTCTTGGAAATAACTCTTCCACATCTGGAGAGCTGGGACTGAGGAAATTAAAGCTCTTGTTTAGAAGATGTTTCAGTTGTGAGAAACAGAAAGCAGCTCTAGTTGGGGGAAAAATGCATGCATTGGCAGGCTCTGGGTGGCTCACAGTACCGAAGGAAGAGCTGAGCAACCATTTCAGGCAGGCAGGAAATGGGGCACTCTGGGCTATCTGGAAGTAGGGGCTTATGTTTTTCCTTTCTAAGAGGCTGCCATTAAGGTGGCTCAGCTCTGTTCCAGCTCCTAGGAGTGAGACTGAGATTGGGTCACCTAGGCTGGGGGTCTCCCTTTTGACCAGTAGGTTTGAGTGGGGAAGGAGAGGGGAAGTTTGCCAGTCATCATTTCTGGAACCCTAGTCCTGTGTGTGAGGAGTTTTTCTAAGGAAGGAAGAGCCTTCCCAAGTGGGGTCAACTCCAGATGTGAAGAGGAAGCAGATAACTGTGGATGTGACCCATTCGTTCTGAACTGGAAAGAAGGGACATATGTTAAGTGATAAGTAACGGGAGGTGAGAAAACAGTGAGTTTAAGGAAAAGAACAGTATCTTCAAAATGGTAAAGCTGAGGGGAATGTGCCAGAACCTTCAGGGAGGTGGAGTATGCCCAGACAACTAGCACCACGGTTTTACCTAGAAAAGCTCTTTAGGAGAAGGGCAATTCAATAGAGCTAAATAGATTGACAAAAAAGCCAGCTCTTCTGCTCAAATTTTAATCCACTAAGAAGCCATGTGAGCCCTAAAGGAGACTGCAAACAGCCTACTCTACATTTTTATGTGACTGAAGTGCCATTTTTGTGTTTTAATTAAACAAGTTTGGTGCTCTCACAGACGCTGTTTATTGTCAACCCAACAGCCATTCTTTAACCCTTTTCCCAAGCAGGTAGAATCTGCCTCCTGCAAAGAGATTGAAAATGCTGGATATTCACTCTTCCTAGTCCCCCTGACTTCTTGGGGTGGCCATCTAACATCATTCTAGCTAATGCAAGTAAAGGAAATCTTTCTCAGGGGTGCTGGGAAACTACTTCTTCCCTGATAAAGGGACCCACAAGTAGAGTTATCTTGTCACATGAATGGGCTCCTTTCTTTCTGCCTTTGAGCATGATGGGATGAGGATGTGATTCTTGGGGATGCTGCAGCCGCCTTGTGACCATGAGGGGAGAATCACTGACATACTGAAGATGGTGGAGCAAGAGGCTGGGGCCTTTGAGACCACCAACCTCTCAATTTCTTATTATTTTTAATCTTAATAAACCCCTACTGATTAAGCTTCTTTCACTGGGGTATATTGGTTGCATTCTAATGTATCTCAGTGGAAACAGTTGCCCAAGGTAAAATCAAACAATCTCATATAAAATGAAGATTCTTGACTTCTCTTGGCGGAATATGTGTTTGGGCCAGCACGGTGGCTCACACCTGTAATCCCAGCACGTTGGGAGGCCAAGGCGGGCGGATCACGAGGTCAGGAGATCAAGACCATCCTGGCTAATATGGTGAAACCCTGTCTCTACTAAAAAATACAAAAAATCAGCTGGGCGTGTCGGCGGGCACCTGTAGTCCCAGCTACTCAGGAGGCTGAGGCAGGAGAATGGCATGAACCCAGGAGGCGGAGCTTGCAGTGAGCCAGGATCGTGCCACTGCACTCCAGCCTGGGGAACAGAGCAAGACTCCGTCAAAAAAACAAAACAAACAAACAAAAAAAAACAGATCTGACAACACTGGGCCTGCCTTTCTCTCTGACAAATAACGACCTGCAGCTAAAGAGGGTCAGCACCACTTCCCTAGGGTGTGTGCTTTTAGTTCTCCACAGTCTCCACTATTCCTTAATGTCCCCACTTGCCTCATTCACTGTATTCTCTTCCTAGTACCTCAAGGTATCTGAGCTTGTGGCTGCCGATCTCTAATATGGACTCTGAGTAAGTTTACTCAATGAAGGAAGAAATTCAGGCAGCCCACAGCTCCCAGGGTGGGCTCGGACTCTTCACACTGTGTGTAACCTACTTTGCCAAAGAGACTGAATTAGGAACCCCACATCCAAAAACAATCGGGGTTGAGGAATAAATGTTCTCATTATGGCCATTTAATTGGTACACTGTGATGTTATATTTACTTCACATGAATAGAGCATGAAATTAAAACATAAGGATCTGTAAAAATGCCTGCCTTTTGTGAACTGGCTTACACTGTTCATTATGACTCCTGAGGATCCTACCATCAGCTTCATGTTATTATATCACTTGTAGTTTTAATGATATTTTAATCAAAGCTTTTACATGGCCAGTCTTAGGATTTTCTGTGTAATTATCGGCATTAATAATACTCTGTTGTTACTTTGCAGAGTACTTCCTGGCCATTTATCTTTAATTATTTATATTAAATTTACACTTTATGGTTCAGAATTTTAAGCCTTTATCAACTGAAGTACAACCCTTTTCCTTTCCTCCCGCTTTCTGTCACAGAACTCAGATAAAACCAGAATCAAATAAGAAAGTGGGCCACATCAGGATGGGTTTTTTTTTTTTCCTTAACAGTAGCAAAGGATTCTTTTCCTACATTTCTATTTGGGGCTTTATTTTTTGAAAATTATAGAGTTTTTAGTTAAATTATTGTTTAATTTTCTAATTTTAAATGAATTTTAGCTCAGAATTTAAAATTATGTCTTTTCAATTGCTATGATTTATCTCTTAAAATATCTCACATTCATCTTCAAAGTTGCTTGCCAATGTAACTACTATAACTTTTAAAAAATCAATGGCTTGACTTTGGATGGAAGTCAATTCAAGCCTCCCCTTCTCCACTCCATCCATGGGATAATCACACGACTCTGTGCCAAAGCCAGTTTGGAAGGACCAGCGCTGGAGAGAGTTGCACTGGGGCTCATGGAGCATAGTCTGTGGTACATGTACTCCAAGGTTAAGCCCATGGAGCTTAACGGAAATGGCTGATCAAAGATATTCTGATGTTTCTAACTTGCACATGCAGCCCAGTGCTGATTAGCTGACCATTTAGGCAGCCACTCAAGTCTCTCAAAATGCAGTCCGTTATGCTAACTGCCCAAAAGTGACACTCTTGGCCAGGTGCAGTGGCTCATGCTTATAATCCCAGCACTTTGAGATGCCGAGGCGAGATCACTTGAGGCCAGGAGTTCGAGACCAGCCTGGCCAACATGGTGAAACCCCGTGTCTACTAAAAATACAAAAATTAGCCAGGCGTGGAGGTGGGTGCCTATAGTCTTAGCTATTTGGGAGGCTGAGGCATGAGAATAGCTTGAACCCAGAGGCAGAGGTTGCAGTGAGCCGAGATCATGCCACTGCACTCCAGTCTGGGCGACAGAGCAAGACTCCATCTCAAAAAAAAAAAAAAAGTAACACTCCGGATAGCAAAGATGCTTCACCTCGTAGCACCCAGGCCCAGGAATCTGAAGAACCACATGGTACATCCGATCGGAACTGGATGAAGGGGATGTTCACTGCCTTGAAAAAACAAGCTGGCCAAGGAGCAGTGTGCTGTATACTCAGACTGAAAAAGGTTCATATTGACTGGCTGACTGGCTGTATTCAATAATGCAAAGAGCTGAGCGAGAGACATGGCACATTCCTGATTCTGTTCTTGTACCCTCTACCAGAGTCCTATCATGCGGAAACATTGCCTGCTAGACAGGAACAGGAACACACCACCACTTGGAGAATCCTTAGAGCACAGCTCTGCAAAACTCAGACCTTAAAGGGGAAAAACTCTCAGCCTGAAGCTGCTTCTTACCTCCAATGGCCACTCAGCCACTCCCTTGAGATGAGCCCCAGGCATGCGGTTTCTGATCTGTGAGATCAGTCACACCACTTCTTGCAGAAGAGCTAAGTAAAGCCCCCATGCCCCCAAAATTCACTGTATGAGGCAAAGCTACAGAAGTGGCTCCATAAACAGACTGGAAGATGGGAAGGATATTGTGCCCATGAACCCTCAGGCAACTGCAGTGACCTCATCCCCCACACAGGCACTCATGCATCTTCACGCTCATTGTGTTTGGTGGAGGTCTGTGCATGAAGTTATTAATTTTATTTGCTTCCAGATTCAATGATTCAAAAGCCCTGGAAATGCTCAAGCTGTCACTCCAAGTTTCAAATCTATTTTAGAGACATGGGCTATGAGAAGCTGATGGCTCAGAAAGGTTCTGAGCCTTTGCTTCCAAGCTCAGAACCTGGAATGACCTACAAACAAAGCTGGCTTTGGGTCTCTGCTGAGAAACCCGCTGCATCTCCATGACTTGTTGCACTGGGCGGCCAACACCAACTCTTCCAGGTGGGAGGTTTTATTGTGTTTTACAACCATGAAAACATAGGAAGGTGGCTGTTACAGCAAACACTTTGGATAAAGGAATCGGCCAAGCTCCCCAAACCCCACCTTCGCAGCCTCTTCCACACGTCTCTCAGAGATTGTTCCTGGTGTCCTTCGTTTGCAAATTCAAGGATGTTGGAAGTAGACATTTAAAGTAGCAGGAACACCATCAGTGAAACAGAAGCAGAAGTACGATGACTTTGAGAAACAACTGATGAAAAACACTACAGAAAACCATTTCTATTGTGTTATGATGTCAGGGTGGCAGATGTGCCCAGGGCTTAGCGTCCATCCTCCCAGGACACTGGTCATACGGGGCCTTCGGTGATCCCCTCCAGAGGCAAGCTGGGTGCGCTGTCAGCTGTGGGTCTCTCCTCTTTCTTCAGCGAGGCTGGGACTCGCAGACTAACGTAGGGTTTATGGCAAGCTGTGTTGGCCAGAGGAGGATAGTGCTGTCTGTAGCAAATGTATGCAAAAATGAGGCCGATGACTCCGCCCACAAAGGAATCTAGGCAGGAAACAGCAGAGCGGGAAAAATGGGTTACTATTTGTTCAAATGTGGCCAGTTATATTTTCCAGAAAGCACTTCTCCTTCCTGTTCTAGGACCTGGTTTGCTTACAGGACCCCCCGAAAGACTCAAGGAAAGAGAAACCACGCTGGTGGCCTCTGCAAACTGCCATCATTTCTGGCACTTAAACATTAAAAAATGAGTACTTGATTCTTTCTTCCCTGTTCTTTGCTCTGTCGCCCAGGCTGGAGTACAGTGGTGCAATCTCGCCTCACTGCAGCATCCCCCTCCCCAGTTCAAGTGATTCTCCTGCCTTAGCCTCCCAAGTAGCTGGGATTTCAGGCACATGCCACCACTCTCAGCTAATTTATGCGTTTTTAGTAGAGACAGGGTTTCACCATGTTGGCCAGGCTGGTCTCGAACTCCTGACCTCAAGTGATCTGCACATCTCGGCCTCCCAAAGCGTTGGGATCACAGGTGTGAACCTCCATACCGAGCTCTTCCCTGTATTTCTTTAACTCACACCTGAGCATTGCATAAACTCAAATTTGTATCCCTGATTTTTGAAATTAATTCTAAATTCTGGAAGAAAAATTCAAGCCATCTCTGTAGGATCTAAATATCTCGGGAGCGGTGCTGTTTTTATTTTTTTTTATTTTTTTTACTTTTTTAGGAAGTTCCCACCAGTGTAATATTGCTGGTGTGCTGCAGAAAATCCAGCAGGTGAAAGAGTCTCTGCCTCGTGGTAAGTGGTTTCCCAGGGATGAAATGAACCTTCTGTGTCACAGACAAAGTGAATAAAACATTTTAAGACATGCCTGTGTTGGCAAACTCAGCAGACCTCTGGCAGGAAGGGCTCAATTCTCTAACAGCTACAGATCTTACCAGCTGGGAGGCGAGAGGGGAGCAGGTGAGGCAGAAGGGTGCATCTGCAGGGAATACCAGCCCTCTGCCCCAGGGAAGCCCCTTGCCAAAGAGAACATTCAGGTAGTTCTCAATAGAGACCTCATAAAAGCAGCTCACACCAACAACGCTCGCTTAGTATCTGTGTGTGTGTTCACTTTAACTGTCTATGGGTTATTTTTGCTGAAAAGATTCTAGTCTAGTGGAATATCTCCCCTAACCAAAAAAAAAAAAAAAAAAAAAGGGAACTCTTTCAAGGTTGCTGTCAGGCTGAATTGCCATTCTCCGTTGGGGGGTCTCCACTTTCACAGTTATTTTCTTGTTGAACCATATAGACTTCCCGTAGGCAGGCAGGATCAGCCCCATTTTCCCCAAAAGAATTGGGCTTGAACCCTGGAGTCCTGATCCTGTAGTTGCACTGGTCCGTGGTGCTGTGCACACACGCTGGCGGGTTCATTCCAGGCTCGATAACCACATGACTCTGAGGTCCCAGCCTTCAGGATGCAGCAGGCCCATGGGCTGAAGGGTGTGTCCACCTGCATTCAGGTAGGGGCCAGTGGTGATCCTGAAGGATCAGTGCTCAGGGTGGTAAGTTTCCCAACGCTTCCCAGTAAGCAACACACTGTAGAGAGACTTCAGTTTAAGTCACAAACTAATGTGCCTCTGTCTCCTGTAGGTGACATGTTGAGTGGTTGTCAAAGAAATGTATCTTTCAGGAAAACAAGCTGCTCAATGCTTAGAAACGTGCACTGCACCTATCAGTCATTTTTTGTGATCCTGTTATTGGTATCCTGGTTCTATCTAGATCTAACAGGATAATTTCTGAGGACAGGGACAATATTTTCATATTTCAGTATCGTTCATAGAACTGTTTCTACTTTCAGAGTTTCTATGAAGCTAATAGAAAAACATGAAAAGTTCTATAATGAACAGCTTTATCTCCTTTAAAACAAATTTAGTAATTTCATGCATGTAATTTTATTAATCTGCAATAGCAAAGCAGGAAAAGAAGTATAAATAAAAGAAAAGCTTTTTTATTTTAGACATGTCCGTGATGACAGCATAAGCTTTCCGTGCATGCAGACCCAGGGCCCAGGACACTGCTCTGGAACTGGACTTGGGACACAGCGGTGATGTTCTCTTAAGAGTAAATAGGCGCAGCCATTCTCCTGCTTGGCTGACTCCTTCCCACTGCTGTAAGAGAACAGCCAAGCCCCTGTGTCATTTAAGGCTGCATCCCTGGCCCTGCCAACCATCCCAGCTATTTCCCCTTCACTCATCCTACCGAAGCCATGGTCTTCCCTTTAGTTCCTCAAATACATGTGCTGCTTCTCCTCTTGGGGCTCCACATGTGCTGTTCTGATCCTGGATTCCCAGGAATCCCTTCTCCTCATGCCTTCCCCTAATCAATTTCTATTCATATTTCAGAGCTCAATATCATTTTTCTATTCATACTTCAGAGCTCAATACCATTGTGCAACATAGCCTCATCTGACCTCCAGACTAGACCAAGTCTCCCAGTTATACATGTTAGTAGCCCCTCCCCACTCCCTGTGCAATTAGAGTGGCAAACAATGACAAATTGTGTGATTTTTTAATATTTAATGCTGGACTCAACTCTATAAGGGTTGGCTATTGGTTCCTTCAACACCTTGGCCAACACCTCGCTCACAGCATAATTATGTTTGTTGAGGGAAATGGATACATAGTAACTCAGGGTTAGATTGGGTTGCTGTCCTGTGTGTTTTTGGGTGTGCCCCTTTCCCATTCTGGTCCTCTTGATGACCTCATCAGTAACATATTAGCATGGAACCACAAGTCCAAGGTGCCTAAGAGGCCTTGTTATATAAATGTTCCAGGAATTTGATCCTGAGTCAGCCTACTGAGGTCATACATTGAGATTATTTGGAGACTCTACCAAGGTGCATTAAGAAAATAGGTCATATCCCTTAGCACTTTGTGAGACCAAGGAGGGTGAATTGCCTAAGCTCAGGAGTTTGAGACCAGCCTGGGCAACACAGTGAAACCCAATCTCTACTAAAAATACAAAAAAAAAAAAAAAAAAATAGCCAGGCATGGTGGTATGCACCTTAATCTCAGCTACTCTGGAGACTGAGGCAGGAGAATTGTTTGAACCCAGGAGGCAGAGGTTGCAGTGAGCTAAGATCGCACCACTGCGCTCTAGCCCAGGTAACAGAGCAAGACTCCATCTCTTTTTTTAAAAAAAAAAAGAAAGAAAAAAGAAAAGAAAAGAAAAAAAATAGGTCATATCCTCTCTTTGGTTGAGATAAAATATCAGAAACAAAAGTCATTCTAACTGGTCAAAGGGAGAGACCAAATAATTGTCACTGCTTTCTCCCCATACTAGTTCAAACGTCCACAACTGATGAACACAGTGTGACTGCACAGTAGCTGTCTGGCAAAAAGGCAACGAATACATATTCGTGTCTGCTCAGACTTGGTGAGCAGCCATCAGAGTAGGGGGGATTGGAGGACAGCAGGGAAAACAAGAGGCATTACCAAGAATGAACAAGAAAAGAAGGCAGCAGATCCATTCCCAAGAGAAGAACTGTTTGTCCTTTTGGAGGCTCCTGGGGCTGCAGTAAGGTAACCACCACTTATCCTCACCCCCAATCCAAGAATCTTCCATGCTGAGAAATCCTAAGGCTGACATTGCAGACCCTACCAGGGCAAGTTCCTTTGCCTCTCTGAGTTTCCTTATCTCTCAAATGTGGATCTCAGTATCTGCCTCAGTAAGTTGTGATGATAATTTAATAATATATTACTTCTAATGATTATTTCATGGAGCATGCCAAAATAGGACATAAACATAGTATCCATCCTTGTTATCCTTTTCCCATTCCTCTCACATTCCACTCCAGAGCTGCTGGAGGCTTTCTCATCCTGCCCCATCCTTCTCCTCACACAGCAACGCAGCAGCTTACAGATCTCACCTCTCTGACATGGCTACATTTTCATAGCATTGTAAATAAACTTCTAAGGAACTTAAAAACACATTTGTCACCCAAGAAATTGTAAAGCCATATGTACCATGAATTCTGGAGCAGGGCCAGAGGGTGTAATTAACATGATTAAGTGAAGTTGCTTAAATGAAGAATCTCTTCACTAGCTTATGGCCACCAGCCTATAAAATGTGTCAGGCCTTTTTCTAGTTCAAGGTCTTAGAGTTGCACTATTGTTTTGTTTTTCCTCTAACCCCAGGAAACAGTCCCATGAGGCATTTTTATTAGCATCTAAAATGAGCCACAACATCTGCAGTTGAGCCATTGACTAAACAGACCAAAGAGTAAAACCTACAAATAACACCATTCAACATTCTATTTTCTGTAGCACAGCATTTCATTAGGTGGATCATTGACCAAAAGACATCAAATCATCCCAAGAATGTTTCCCAGACTTACTGACATAGCAGCATGCATGGAAATGACAATTCCTGCCAATTCTGTTTCCCATTTAATGGAATGAGTGAAAAGTGATATCACAGGTGCTATGGGAGTTATCAGAAGTAACAAGGGCAATGAAAGGTCTATCCAAGCTGCTTCTCAGCAAAGTCATTTTGGGGCTGTGTTTATTACAAAGGTGGTGAACAAGATCCAAACAATAACTTACTTTATGAAGGAGCTTGTCATCAATTGCCTCAAGTGGGCTATTGCTATTTTGATAAAATCGCATTCGTATCCTCTTGATAGACAGGCAAGTGGGGGACAAGAAAGCCCTTATTGGGGGAAAAACACTTGGGATTAACTTTGCCCCAAATCAACTGGACGTCTCAAAAGGGAAATAAATGGATCTCAGTGTTTTTGGAATACAAAATACTTCTGTCTCCTTACGTAGCACTGATGCCATTCATTCATACACATGCACTGCATATGTATCAGGGGTCGGGCATGATGGCCAAGCCTAGGGCACAGGCTGAACCAATGGGACAAGTCCCTGCTGTCCCAGAGTTTCCAGCAAAGGGGCAAGACAGATACTAAACAATGACAGCCTTATCAGCAATTTGCAGCTATGATAAGCACCATGAAGGAAATGTGTGAGGGTCTGTGAGCTCACCCAGCACACAGACCTGGGCTAT